AGATCGCGAGCTCTTGGCTACCACGTCGCGGCGTTGACTCACTTTTTCGGCCCCCTCCTCCAGACGACGACGACGACATCCTGAGAGCGCTCCTTCGTGCGGCTAAAAAGGAGCCACCCGTGGTCCACAGGAGAAAAGCCAGTCAGAGGGACGTGGACGCGATCATCAGCTTCGCTCTCAAGAGAAAAACGATCCAGGACATCAAGGGAGCCGCAGTAACTTTTACTTTTGTTCTCAGACTTTTTGAGGGTAAGCGAAGTATTTAAGCTCCGGGTGGCGGACGTTCGGCACAGGGGGGACAACATCTGGTGACTCATACGGAAGTCAAAAACGGACCAAGAAGGAAAGGGGACCACTATCACCTTCCGGTTGGAGGGCCAAGCCCTTATACTCTGGAGAATATTTGGGAATTTCCTCCCCCCGAACCTTAAAGTTTCATGTTCAGCAAGGAAGCCGAAGGTCCTCCGCCAAAGACTGACGCTATCGCACGCAGGATCAAGAAACTACTGCTGGAAGCTGGTCTACGAAGCAGAAGGCTCACTCCGCACTCGTTCCGCGGTGGAGCAGCCACAAAGTTAAAGCGCGAGGGGATCGTTGAAACGGAAGAGCGCAAAGGCAAAGTCAAAATTGAGCGATTCACCACCGAATGTGAATGTGGGAGAGTTTCCTTCAGGACTGGGCTTCCGGCCGGGAATATTCTTCGGCGTTCGTATAGCGAAATAAAAACTGAGGTTTTGCCGTAGTTACCGGAGGCAAAGTGTGTACAAGCATGGAGGCAGGAGAGGCTATTCAATATGCTAATTACTTTCCTCCAGGGTACCCATTTTCGACTCACACATCGTGGTTGCAATGGTCAAACCCTCAAATGTCGCTGTATTAAGTGTCACACCGTTTGTGGAGGAACTTGTTCTGTTTGGTGAGTTTTTCTGTTGTTATCTAACCTCTACATATTATGCTTTGAACTTATATCTACATATTATGCTTTGAACTTATATCTTAATGTTGATATCGACTTCTCGTCGGAGTTTTTGTGATTCCGTTTTTGTGTTTTCAATGTTCTCAAATGATTTGAATTTTATAGCGACGGAACGCTTTTACACATGACTTGGTTCTGCCGAAAATGTCACCATGCTGCTCATCCGCATCATATGCTCGAATGGTTTACGGTGAGTACAGCTTTGCTCCCAAGATAATATTTTTTACTTTGAAATTGTAGACGCAACGAGTGTGCCCTGTTGCCAATTGTATGTGCGAATGCGGTACCAATGTTGTACAGACACCGCAAGAGAAGAAGATCACAGTTGCAAGGAACAAAACTCTCGAAGCAATTCGAGAAGTGGGTGTCACAAAGTTTGATAGCTTTTTTCTTGATTTTAAAAGATTTTGATCGTCATGTAGAGTCTTGGATTTTACTAAGGACCATATACACGTACATTCCGCTGGGGAGGGGAGAGGATCTGAGAGGGGATGTGTCATATCTCGCTATTTTAGGTATCTTTCTTCTTCTTTCTCTATCTTGCT